GGGGGGGAGAGGCAAACAAATCTTACATTCATAAACTCAGATGACAGCCACTCTGAGCCATAGGAATAGCACTGAATTTATTGGAGCTGTTTGCACAGCACAAAGCAACCGGAGTAAACAGCGACTTCCAAGAGAGGCAAAGTTATCTGGAGCATCTCCAGCATGCAAAAGGCAGACACACTGATAATTGCAGCAATTATTATTTCCTTTCCCCACACCCTTTTTCTTTTTTTGTTCAGCCAAAGTCGTTTCATTGTGGACACTGCAGCACTGGACCCTGCTGGAACTGGTGGCAATTTCTGTGGCCACCCTCTGGTTTTCAGTGCAAGAGCTGGTAAAATGATTTCTAGGTTACCTGTCAGCATGAACACATGGAGGAAATATTGTTTGGCCCAATAACACACATAGTGTCTTTGTCTCTCCTTGGAGCTCATCAAGCAGGTTGGCTGACCAAGAGATCTGTGAACTAATCACTGTCTACACAGAGCAAACAGTAAAAGGGCCAATTTGTCTGGAACTCTGTTTTTTTTTAAATTATTATTATTATTACTATTATTATTAAAATAATTGAGCTCTCACAAATACTAGCTAAGCCTTGAAAGATGGATTCAAGGTTAATATACAAAATGGGAAAATGGGATAATTGCTACTACGAGCAGCAGCATTACTGCTTCTAGCTGCCTCACATCTAAAGCACAGAGCTGTCATGACAAGAGCTGGGCAGACACTGACCAGAAAAATACTCTTTGCCCCAAATTATGTCAACTGAGGCAGAGAGACTGGCAAGGAAGGCGCAGGGACACAGTGTGTGAGAGAGGAAATGTGTGAGATTCCTGCTTTACCTTTTTCCCTTTCTGTCTGGTTTCTTGATGCTTAGCAGCCCTTTGGGTTATGATCCCTCTCTTCCAATGCATGTATGCAGTTCCAAGCATCTTCTCTGTTCTGGCAGAACATTTGGGGAAGCTTTCAGCGAGTTTCTAAGTGAAAGGTATGCAAGTGGATACGACAGTCAGTTTGGCTTTGTTCGTGATCTTTATTCTTGTGGTAAACGCATACGTACATAGGATTGCTGCATATGTTTCCAGTCTGCCCTTGAGCATGGGATTTCTTATAAGGAGCGAAGACAAGCTGAGAGGAGAAGGAGTTTTCAGCAGCTAAGGATGCCGCATCTGATGCTTTTTGGCTTAACTGCTGACATTGTTAGGGTTCTTACATGATGACAAGAAGAGGAATGTTGGCCTCGTGTGACAAGCTGAATGATTCTTTAGTTTGATGTTTTGGACACAAATTTGAGTGTGAACCAGTGGGCTAAGCACTGAACCGAGACCTAGCTGATACTGGCGCTATGTTGCTGGCTCTTCTTGATGTCTTCGAGGAGATTTGGCTACGCACACACACATTCCCATAGCGTTTTGCCCTGCTCAGTACCTCTGCATGACACTCCTCCTGTTTATACGCTCCCTTTACTGGGAGGCCACAATGAGGTCTCCCTGGAGTCTTCTCCAAGCACACAGTGTTTCTCCATACCTAATGACTCTTGTACTTACCTGCTTTTCACCTTTTCAGTCAGTCACAGTTTATGTTACCTTGTCAGTTTTCTGTGCTCACCTATTTGCTGAGCCTGAATTTCACACACAGAAAGCATCAATTTCTGCCTTTCCTTCTGCCTCTCCTCCCTTCTCCCATCCCCAGTTTTGCTCTCAGAAATAATGGTATTATTTTTGTTAAAAAGAAATGCCAAGATTGTTATTCCAACAGGTGAACTATGACAGTATTAGAAGCACCAAAAGGCAAAGCCTTAAGGATCAGCTAACATAGAGGTGGTGCTAGGCTTCCTAACTAATGCATCCATAAACATTGCTGGTACACACACACAAATATACAGAGAATATTATATATTATAATAAAGAGACTTGGGAAAGGCAGCTGAAAACAACCTGACTGGCTCTAGACCTTCAAGATTGAGGCAGGACATGTGAGAAGAAACTCAAGCAGCAGAAGGCAGGTCTTCAAATTGAATATAAGAAGAGATTTCCACCAACACTTCTGCTCTCCATATTCATATTCCCCATGTGCTGTTGCTCCATTCACAAGTATATTATATTCTTCACTCCTAAAAAAAATAAATGCAACTTCACCACCAGCAATGTTTTAAATATAACTACACACTGGAGAGCACAACTTTTATTGCCTGATTCCTGTTGCTAAAATCCACATACCTCAGAAAAGTCTGTAAAAAATATCAATTCATGCTCATTTCAAGGGAAAACTCTTGCAAACAGAAGGAGAAAGAATGAGTAGCAATTGTTTGAGGGTTCATTTTTACACTGGACTGCTCTGAAGAAACTTTGGTTTGATTGACCACAGACTCTGCCATTCCTTCTCCCCAATTTCAGGAGCTCAGTCACTCCCAGTGACTCCCAGTCACAAACATTTTGATTCATTGCAGGAATAACTACACAAGTCCTGAAAATCCCTTTATGTGAGCAGATCATTTATATTGAGCCATTCTTCAAGATTTCTGCAGAGAAGAGACAGTGTGGAACAGACGTGCTCCCATCCATTTGATTCAAAGTATACTTGAAGCCAAACTTTCAGGACAATATAAATTACTTCTCCAAACCTTTCTGAAAGTTGATTCCATGAAAAAAGCTTTCCCTTGTAATATGTTCTCCATTATCTTGCCGTGGTGCTCTCTGTCCCATCATCAGTCATTAAGAAGTTCAATGCTATTAGTCCCAGTAAAACTGGTAGCTGGTCACATGCTGTAGTTCCAGCTGATGATCATTGCCCCATGAACTCAGAGCTCCTGCCAATTTTCCTCCTACTTTGTATTCTATCCACCCAACCCAGATCTTTCTGAACCTGCCATCATCTCATCAGTGTCACCGGTTTCTCTCACTCCTGATCTTGCTCCATCTTCACCTGCAATTCAATGAGTTTTCTGCAGAATGCTCAGTCCTTGTGTTCCAGGTTTGAAATTTCTGAACGGCTGAGCATTTGCTTGCTCAGATATGGACAGCCCGTGACAGGTAAGTGAGAGCTCTGGGTAGCACTGGAGGAGGAAGTCACCCCAGGAGTCCTCTGGCTGGAGTAGATGATGCTCATTGGACGCTCTGGGTCCAACATGCATTTTGAAGTAACACTTGGTGTAGCCAAAACAAAACACCAAACATTTAATGCACACCTATTGTTCTGCAATAGTAAAAGCCTGAACCCACATTACCTCCTGGTTAGTAGCACATCTATATCCATAACCTAAATACTGCTAAGGCACAGGCATTAACTCAGATTAACTGGACTACCTTGGTCATACACATATAATGAAATTCTCAAGCTTTACAAATCAAGGTGGCTGCATAATCTTCCTTATAGGAAATGGACAATTACAACTGTCCTATGTCCAGATAAGTAAAATTGTACACATTTTGATTTTTGTTGTGATATATGTATCTGTTCATATTGTATACATTTAAAAACTCCAAAATCAAGAGTGAAGCCTTTGAGTGCACACAGCATTGCTGATGATGCAGCTGATGCAGCAAGGCCATTAAGTTAATGCTGAGCATTCCTGCTTCAAATAAAACAGTTCAATACAACTATTTTGGGAAAAAAAATGCAGGCATTGGTCTCAAGCACTTTGAGAGCCTATTCTGGGCTTCATCTCTTCCTGTGAGAAGGGACATGTCCGATTACTATTTGATAATGCTACATTTTCACCTAGCAAGCAATTTTAAGATAAAATCTACTAAAATATGAAGTACGTGAGGAGCAGAAAGCATTGGGAATTTTATCTGTTGCTGCTATTTTTGTTTTATTAACTTTGTATTTGGTACCCAATAGATGAAATTTAAGCACAGGTATAATAAGTGAGAAAATCTGCCTGGTTCAGTATAGTCAAATGAATAGTCAAAATTAGCAAAGTGTATGATGACAACTATAGCAGTTATCTGCAATAACTCCTGAAACAATGCTGAAATTACAGACAATTAGACCAAACTCTGTACTTATCTTTGAAAAAAAAAAAGGAGGGTAAAGAAATCTTCAACACTTTTCTCAACTGCCCAAAATCAACTCTCAGGAAAATTCCTGGAATATTAATACTTTTTGTTAAAATGAAGACTAAAGACATTTGTGTCTCAATTTGTAAGTATGATTATCTGGAGAAAAAAAAAAAAAAGACTGAGAGGGGATCTGATCAACGTTTATAAATATCTAAAGGGAGGTGGGAGGCAAATGGATGAGGCCAGACTCTTCTCAGTGGTGTGAAGCAATAGGACAAGGAGCAATGGCCTAAACTTGAACATAAGAAGTCCTGTGCTAACATGCAGAAGAAATTCTTTACAGTAAGGGTGATGGAGCACTGGCACAGGCTGCCCACAGGGGTGGTGGAATTTCCTTCTATGGAGATACTCAAGACCCATCTGGTCACCCACCTGTGTGACCTACTGTAGGGAACTGCTTTGGCAGAGGATTGGACACAATGATCTCTTGAGTTCCCTTCCAACTCCTGCAATTCTGTGGTTCTGTGACTTGTGTTTTACTTATCTGTATGCATGCAACAGCTTTGTAAGCTCTAGTAAACAAAGCAAAGCAAAGCAAGACAAAAATCACCCTTCCCAGTACTCGGGACCTGAGCTGCCAAGTTGGGGCACCTTTGAAGATGTGAAGATGGAAGCTGAGTGAACTGCAGCTCTGCATGGCAGATTCAGGACATACTGAGATGCCATTCCTTTGCTTTGTGCCACATGAAATTGTAAGACATGTATCACATAATCCTCCTATCACACGTGCTAAAAAGTGAGAGGTTCAAGAGTAGCAGTTCTCACTTCCATTTATACTCTCATCGTAAAAACTGAGAAGATAACACAGAAGCAGCGGAAGCATTTTGTATTTAGGGTAGCCTTTAATATCAGGTTAAAGAGCAGAATTTTTGATGAGTCAAGGTAAAGAGTAGCCCACAGTGAAAGAAATCTCCATTGCTTTTTGGCAGGGTCAGCCCAGGGGAGCTCAGGTGCAAGCAATGTACTTGAGTGACCAGAAGGGCTGCAGCCATGATCCACCCCTTCCCAGATCTCATCTAAGGGTTGGCAGTGGAGGTGCGTGCATCTCTCTGGGAATTCTCATGTATTTGAGGCTTTTTGAAGGTAAGTAGCTTATTTCCTTTATTTCTGTGCCTACTACTGTTGTGTTTGAGTGAATATTCCTTTGTTGTAGCATGGGATCTTGCTACTCTGCTGTCACTGTTGTACTTTCCAATGTGTTGCACCTTGGTATGAGGGACCATTGTTTTCAAGAATAGACTGAAGATGCCTTGATCCTTCCCCAGCTTTTATTTTCATATCTGTTGTTAATTGGTTTAGTTTCTTTGCTTCCTGAAAAGTTTGATATGCAAAGCCTCTATCCCAAAGGATAAGCATAAGCTCTGCCCCATTTGATTACTCTTGCTTCTTTGGAGTTTGCGTGCTGCACACTGGCACACAGTGCAGTGCAAAGCAGCAAACTTCCCGCAGTAACACCAGAGCACTTTCTTAGAAGATACTGATTTCTTCTTTCTCTATCTGTTTTCTTTCCAGACTCAAACAAGGAACTGCAAAAACATAGAAAATGTGGAAATTAGACTATCTTGTTGTAGATGCATGCTCGGGACTGCTATGGCTTAAGGTAGAATGTTTGTTTGTGCCTTTCTGAATCCACAAGATTCTTCAGTTACTGTGAGATGTGCTTGGACTACAGAGCTTTAATCCAGAGTAGAATTCAGATGCAAACTAGTAACATGCTTCACGTGCAGTTCCATCTTAAGATAGAATATGGTCTCTCCTCAAAAAGAGGAGAAAAGCACAACCAAATATTTGCAGTTTCCCAGAGTTTCAGGTTCAGCTCAAGGCTTCAGCAAAGACTTTGGGTCATTTTATCCAAATCTATCTGCCCAGCCCTAATTGCAACAGCACATATGGAAATGCTACAGTGAAGTCCTTGCCAGCACTTTCATTATAAACCCTCCTGGTTTGAGTGTTTTGTAACTCTTCCTGAAGGGAAAAAAAAAAGAAAAAAGAAAAAAGAAAAAAAAAAAAAAGGCAACAGAAAGGGATGAAACTTGATATAAAAGGTTTTCAGCTGGGGAGCAGTTTTTTGTGTTGCAATATTTCATGGAAATCTAATCAAAGCATTTTGAAAATCAGAAAAGAAATTGGAGGAAAAAAACGGGGGTGGGAACACAATATTTGTTTTATTTTTCTTATTTTATTGTTTGTTTGAAGCACGTAGGAAAAAATATTGCAGATTTAAACCACTTCTAAACTCTGAACTGTGGCCTGATTTGGATTAAATGTTTTGGATGATTCCATCAAAGAATTGCAATAATACCAAAGGAAAAGAATATTTGTCCATTACACCTGTTTGGAAATTGCTATGAAGGACAAGAAATATCTGCAAGGCAGTGAAAGAACACCTGGAAATTCTAGATACATTTGGTCCTGTACTGCTTAATGAAGTATATGGGTTTGCATGGAAGTAACACCTGACAGGAATCCCTCCTTAGATTAAACTCTGGTTTTGAAGAGAATCGCTCAGGTCTCATCCTTCTTGAGTTTTATTCCAAAGCTTCTGGCAGAGTGTAGCTCCCAGTCATTCACATGAAAGCAAAGCAAAACTTGCTTATCATTGGTGTGCACAGTTTGGGACAGATGCTGAAGTTAAGCTAAACACAGCCATCTATCAGTAGGTCTGTAAGGTTACGTGATAGGTAATGGAGGTCTACCCCACAGGAAAGATTTGGCTAGCCAATATGCATCCAGAGGCTGTTAAACAGGATGCAGGATTTCTGGACAAACAGCATGACTGGTGTATTTTTGAATACCTTAGGTGATGCTGAGAAGCTGAATCCTACAAAACACATAGACATAGTAGGAGCTGAAGAACCTACCTGATTCCATTGGGTGTGCTCCGCATCAACTCAGTGTCCTATAACTACAGAGAGAGTTCAGACATTATGTCTAGACAGATCAAAGGTTCAACAGTTCCCCATCCAGCACATTGCACCGGTAGCCATATACCCTAGGAATACTTTTCATCTTCTGATCTCAAAAAGCATTAGAAAGGAGTGAAGTATCTTGCTTGTACTCATGATCCAAGTATAGTATGCATTAAACATACTTGAGAAAGTTATTACTGCAGCTGGCCCTTAAAACGTTAATCAGTTGGAACTCTGCTCAAACCACTTGGACGTATATCTGAATTGCTGCATTGTACCAAGTCGTAGGGCACAATCTAACTCAGTGTCTGAAGATAAGTGACATCAGATCTTATCTGCAAGTGACCCTCTCAGTCAATTTTGAAGAGTCTCAGGAGATGGACTCTACCAGGAATTCAACTTGATGATTCTTGTGGGCCCCTTCCAACTCAGGGTATTTTATGATGATTTGAAGACAGCCCGTCTGACAGCGGGCATGTTATAAACATTCCCTATTTCTTCCCTCTATGGTTGACTGGATGCACATGGACTGTAATAGAAGTTTGGATGCATGTAATCACTAAATCTGAGTGTCTTAGTCTGGAGCTTATTAAAGTCAGTCATCTTGTTGAGATGACTTCCAATCCTCACCAACAGTATCCAACAGCTTATGCTGAATGTCTTCATCCTCTTTGACTGTGAGCTGAACTGTGTTGCATTATACCACATTTGCAACAAATACAGACAACTGTGACATCTCAGCTGGCACACAGTAGCTTGCAAAAGCATGGTAACTTGTTTGTGTCCCTGAGCTATAACTCTGAAATAGTTCAGATGCAAACATGCAGTTTGCATTCTAGCTAAATCAAGGACAAAGGCACTTAAATCCTAATGTAGATTGATGCGAATTTGATGGAAGAGGATAGCTTTTATTACAGCTCCTTAAGCCTGTCTCCAATCTAGATGGAGTTAAACGCATTGTGGGAACATGCTGGGACTTGTTTTCATTACAAATAGAGCCTGGCTAAAATCAGAATTTTTTTCACACATTTGTACTTGTTTGAACAGAAATGGAAACTGTAGACTTGATGAGTACAACTGCACAGGTGCAAAATTATTCCCTTCTGGAATACTAGGCACCTTTGTCCAAGAAAATAAGCATGATGCGGAGAAGAGCAACTGGGACCATCTTTGGAATGTGGAAATTCATATATGAGACAAGAGGCTTGTTTTAACTATCAGAACAGAAGCTGAAAGATGATATGGCTATTGAAACTACAGGACGTTTTTGGCATAAGGACAAATGTGTATTAACTGGTCATGAATAAATTTCGAAGAGACATTAGAAGATGGTTTCAAACTGTCAGAAGAGTGAGGTTTTGAAGTCAGCTTTCCCATAGGAGTAGTTATGGCAAGAAACCTAACCACTTTTATGAAGGAGCACACTAAATTTATGAACAGATTATGTTACGTGGGAGGCTGAGGTAGCATGTGGCTGGATTTGATGATCCACAAGATTCCTTTCAGGCTACTTAAGAGAAAATCTTAGAGTTTAATTTTCAACTGCCCTTTATGCTTTCTCTGTATAACCATAAAGGCAGGAATATTCTTACTTTGCACCTACAACTTTTGTGCTATTACCATCTTAAATAAACAATTATGTGATTGGAAACTACAGAAATAGTTGAAGCTGTGATATTACAGACTCAAAAGTGAACAGATACGGTAAAAGAAGTCTTATAAAGTAAGTGTCTTCACAAAGTGCTTAACATCCTTTGTAAGATTTTTGTATTAGAATTTGATGAATGTCTATTTTCATTTTTTCTTACTAGAAACCTGACCAATGTGCCACACTTACATGAAATATGTGAAGAAAGAGTACAAGAATTAATGCACAACTCAAGGCATGTCTGTGATACGCAAAGCAGCACAGAAGAGTAACATCTGGGAAAGAATCAAACAAACTCATTCCAGAAATGAAGCTGTTACAGCTGCATTAGCCCAGGGTTGAGCCCAGGACAGCTGGCTAGCTGAGAGGCAGAGCTAGTCATCCTGGGATGAAATCCAGTCCACTGAAATCCCACTTTTTTCACAGACAGCAAATCAGTCCACATATTTTTCTGAACTGCTCATTATAAATCTCTCTAAATTCATTAAAGATGCCTTTATTTCATGGGAGGCATTTTCCAGGTTTTTCCCTTAAACGTGTGAGTCAAAGTTTGCTGTGATCAAAGTTCTAATCCAGATCCTGTACCATTTTGTCCCTGCTTAATTCTTCTAGAAAGGTCTTTAAAGTTAAGAGTTAGTGAGAACAAGAATGTGACTCTAGCCATTTTCTTCCTAGGAGCTCAAAAGCTATAGAAACTGGAAGATACTGTCTGCAAGGAAAGGGGGCTCAGATTTTACGCAATGCTTGCATTGCAACACCACGTTGATTTTTGTCTGGTCAGTTCTGGAGCCAAGCATACAGGAGATAGAAAAGTCAAAAAAAAAAGACAAGAATCTAGAGAGGAAGAACAGGACCATTGGTTCCTGCTCCTTGTAATATCATGTGTCTGGTGTATTCCTGAAAGCATGTAGTTTATCTTCACGGGGGAAAGGGAGCCCACCATATGCTTGGCCTTGACTTTATGTTCAGAGAACTCCTGTAGGCAAAAGAGAACGAAACTCCCTTGAGACTGTGTAGAACCCAGGACCAGGATTTTGGGGAGACCCTCAGATATGAGGTCATTATTATATAAAATCTGATCCCGTGACTCCTCCTCACTTCATATTTTGTGTTCACCATGACAGCGGGGGTCTGGATTCCACACTGATGTCATCACCTACAGTTTGCTTCTACTTTGCACTCTCAGGGAAGATACATGGCTAAGAAGAGTGGGTCTTTAGAAGTATTTATCTCTCTCCAATAGCTGTGCACTGACCACTATAACTAAGTGGTCTCCACTTACATGTCCCCCATTCCGACTTACAACTTTGACAGAAATCCGCTCAGAGAAACAGGTTGAGTAACAAGAATGTTTACATCTGTTAAAAACATAGAGGAAAAGTTACTTAGTGAATTCAAAAGTGTGAGTATTAAAAATACAACAGAAAAGACCTTTCAGTTATTTCCTATGGTTGCTTCTGAGTTTTTAGTCTGTTATCTTTGCTACCCGAGCTTCATTCAGGAACAAGATACAGGAAATGACATAATCAAACTCGCTGCTTTCATAAACACTTTTTTCTATCACTTTTCTCATTTTGATCTATGTGTGACACGCAGGCAGTGTTCAGTGCAGTTGCAACCACTGGCTGGTGAAGTGCTAAGGACCTCCATGGAATGCAAAGCAGCTAAAACTCACCAGGTCACCTCTCATCTGCACTTTTTTTTTCTCAAGAAATTCCATCAGGTTTGTCAGACGTTATTTTTCACCCCAGAAACTATCCTAATTCCTTTATATCAACTTGTATGTTTCCAGATGTTTTGTGATCTCATCCTATACTGCTGTCTGCAAGACCTTGCCTACTGTCAGTATCAAACTTTATGAGAATCTGTAAGTCTTTACCTTAGTCCTCTTCTTATAGAATGGTTTTACATTCATGTTAGTTTGGTCCCTCAGTACTCCTTCCTGTTACAATAAGCTAGTATGTGTTCTATAATTGACCAGTATCCTTTTCCATCATCCCTTTCATGAGATTCAGGTGTGACCAGCTGAGCCCTACAGCTGTCTCCCCTTTCCAGTGAATTTTTTGAAAACTGGTCCTCAAATTGCTTTGGCTTTCAGAATCTTTTGTTTTAATTTCTAGCACAGTATTTTGTTTCATCCTTGAAACCTACTTATCACAGATAGTAGAGGACTAACACTGAAGTAATGATGATACATTAGCTAAGACAATCCAGAGGCTGATCACTGTTTATAGAGCTTTTTATGTCCAGATCGTACTGGTAGTGATAAAAGATAATGAACATCAGGTGTTTTCATACTATCATATATACCAGTGAACAACTGAAATCTTTATGTGGATCATCACATTTAGTCAGAAGTTCTGTGTGTCATATCATGAAGAAGGAATATGTTTATACTGATGACATGGTTATAACTAAGGGGTACAGTAACTGCAAAACAGCTTGTTTGAACACTATGAATGTGTGCAGAGCCAAAAGGAAAGATTATAGAATAACAAATTCTAGTGTGGCTTGGGCTGGGACATCAAGGATCGTGAAGCTCCAACCCCCCACCACATGCAGGGCACAAACTTCCACATTTCATAGCAGCCCAGGCTGCCCAGGGCTCCATCCAACCTGGCCTTGAACACCTCCAGGGATGGACGGGGCATCCACAGCCTCTCTGTTCCAGCACCTCACCACTGTTTCTGTGAAGAACTTCCCTCCTTGAGCTTAAAATCCTTCCCACTTGTCCTGTCACTATCTACCCAAGTAAAAAGTTGATTCCCTTCCTGTTCATAATCCCGTTTTAAATACTGGAAGGCTGCAATGAGGTTTCCTCGCAGCTGCCTGCCATGGAGTTGACCAGATCAATCTATGTCCGTGACAGGGGCGGCAGGCCTCTGCCCTCCCCCCCCACCCCAGTCCCACAAAAATGGGAAGGAAGGAAGGGAGGAAAAGAGCAGCGGCAACAATCTATGGAGGAAAACTTATTTTACTATAATATTGGAATACAAGATAACACAATCTATACAATTTAATTGAAATTGAGATTAATAAATCAGACAAGATGAGAGAGAGAGTTCCCGGGACCGATTCAAACCTGAACAGCTTGGAACGGCCAGGAAAACACCTCCAGCACCCCCTGCAAGGCAGCAAGAGAGCACCCCCCCCCACCCGGAAGGGCCAGATCCCGTGACTGCTGTACTGTACAGGGATAGGTACCTGGGATTGGGCATTAACACTTTAATACCCCGTACACAACATGATGTTTTGATGTGGAATACTGAAACCCAAAAATAAAAACAAACAAACAAACAAAAAACATAGAACCATGACACTGCCTTCTCTCCAGGCTGAACAAGCCCAGCTCCTCCAGCCTGTCTTCATAGCACAGGTGCTCCAGCCCTCTGATCATCTTTGTGGCCCTCTGCATCTTTCCTTTCTTGGGGGCTCCTGCAGATGGGGCCTCATGAAAGCAGAGTAGAGTGACAGTCACCTTCCTGTCCCTGCTGGCCACCCCTCTTCTGCTGGAGCCCAGGATACCATTTGCTTTCTGAGCTGCAAGAGCACACTGCTGGCTCATACTCAGTTTTTCATCCACCAGCACCCCCTGGTCCTTCTCCCCATTGGATGGCTATTACCACCCTTGCCATTGCTTTGTTTTCTCATGAGAGGAGCAGTATGACAATCAAACAGAATCTGACAGTGCAAAGTTCAAATCTGCCTGGCCACAGACTTGAATGTGTCATATGTGTCATATGGATGAGCTCCTGCACCCCAAGGGATTTAAGTATCACAATTCTGAGCTGTAGGAGCATTCTGGATGCAGTGCTGCTCTGGCATGTAGGACATTTCCAGAAGGATTTGTACAAGTGTTTTGTTGTTGTTTTTTTTTTTTTGTTGTTGCTGTTGTTGTTATATATATAAATAACATATAAATACTGTTCTTCATTTCACCCAAAATGGATGAGATTCCTAATATAATTTTGAGTTTCTTAATACATCCAACTCTCCCAGCTTCATATTCCACCTGTAAAAGGGGAATAAAAGCACTTTCTTTGTAGGTGGAATGAAGAAAATAAATTGTGCTCAGGTGTGTATGCTGATGCCTAAGGTAGTGGGGGATGATGGCAGGTCAGTACCAAAAGACATAGCTAGACAGAGTCCCACAGAACTTAAGCTAGTAGAAGTTATCTGGACGGTTTAGATTACCACTCAGATTAGTGACAGAATTTCCTCAATTGGCAGTGGATGAAAATTGTGTTACAGATAAGTGTCTTTGAATAAAAGCCCTGTGTAACTCCAAACATTAGGCACTTTTAGAAAGCGATCTATACAAAGTCTTGAAGCAACAGCATCTCTTCTTGCTGACTTTGTGCAAACACTTCCTGAAGCTTTCTATTTTACCACAATAAAAGCCTTTCAAAGGTCATGTAGGGATAACTTGAATTATTAACATCTATCAGTCCCCTAGCCCAACCACAAGCATGCCTAAAGCAACTCTTGCTGATAACAATTGCAACTACATTTTCCTCACTTGCATCCACAAAATGAGCTGATACTCATGACTATTGCTGAGCAAGAAATCTCTGGGTTACTGGGAATATCACACCCCAATAACCTTTCAGTTTCTTCCCTGACATTTTTTGCCTGACAGTTTAAATGTACAACTCAATTTCTCAGTCCCCAGGTCAGATGCTTTGGTAACAGGTGTCAACAGCAGCGAACTGAAGTCAGTGGCTCCATGCAATGCAAAACAACAGGAGGGTTGGTCCTGTGAGTCTTGGCTTCAGGTGCAAGGATTTCCTCCCATTAACTCTTGGCTTGCAAGAATTACTTTGAAAGTTAGCCCATTTGTTTCACCTCCACCTTCAGCACCACGCCGTCACAGGCACTGTAACACTACAGGAGCACAGATTGTAAAATAAAGACCATATTTCCTTCCATACATAAGCAGAGCTATGCAGCATTCCAGCTTAGCACTGTATTTATAACACAGTGAACTTCATATTTCCTTACATGCTACTGGCAGCACTGACAAAATGCACCTTTGAATGCCAACGTTCTTCTTGCTGTAACTGATTGCTAGTCCTTGGTCACACCACGAGTAACTATTGCTCTGGAAGTTCTGTTGTTCTTCCTTCCTTCCCCACTGGAAAGTCTCCTGCTTTCAGTAGAGCTCATATTAGCAGATGATCCTGCGTTTCGTACTGCCATGTAATCCTAGCTGATTTTTTCTATTCCAATCTACCTCCACACCGACTGATCCACAGTTTCTATCAGCAACCACCTGTGTCTTTCTCCTCACATCTGTATGCAGGTCATAAAGAAATATTTACTAACTTTTAAGGCACCCTGGTGTTAAAAGCCATCTCAGACCAACAGTTCCCTTTTTGGTGCTCTGCCCTGTCCCCTTCATTTTCCTGTCCAAATTGCTATCTTCTCCGCCTCAGAAGGTGTTCATGAAGATGGCGCATATTTCTTAGTCTAAGCTTGAGTTAAGGACAGGCAGTCAAGGGTCCAGCCCTTGTTCCTTGTGGATTTGTGTGCATCTGTACATCTACACAGCCAAGGACATCAGGGCAATGTGATAGCCACATTTATCACCCATATCACAATCCATCTTGTTCAACAGAGGTTTCCAACTACTGTAGATTTGCCATAACTTGGAAACCAAACTCCTGCATGCACAGCTCTAACTTTGTTAGTGACTGATTTTGTTAGTCTTTTCCATTAACAGTGTAGTCAACAATACAGCAGCCCATCAGACCTCATTACAGGTTTTATACTTGCAGCTAGCTGCCTCCAGTAGCCTTATAATAAACAGGCACTGGAATGTACTGCCCAGGGAGGTGGCAGGGTGACTGTCCCTAGAGGTGTTTAGGAAATGCTCAGATGTTGTAGTAAGGGACACGTTTAGTGGGGAAACATTGGTGGTATGTGGATGGCTGGACTGGATCATCTTGGAGGTCTTTTTCAACCTTGGTGGGTCTGTGAATTTATGATTCAATGAGATGAATGTCGTTTATGGGTGATCTCTGTGAAAAATGATGAGGAATAAAACACTGAGCACCCAAGGTGAAGAGTCTGTGCTTCAGCTATGCAAACTCAAAACTAGGAACATGCCAACCCTGTTCATAGATGTCACTTTCCAATAAGCATTTATCCACCTCCTTTACTTTCACTGAGGTTACCTCTTTTGCATGTTCATTCTGCATCACATCCTTTTATGTCTTGCTGCTATGCTATGACTCTTAAGCTTTGTATTTGAAGGGGGAAGAGTTACAAACAATTCAGGCTTACATTTTGAGGATATTTTAGTGAGTTTTCTCACCTGGGTTTGAACAGAGCTGGTAAGAGTGACTCTTTGACATGCTGTC